TATCTGATAAAGGAATTAATATTAAAAACCACATTTAAAAATTCAAAAACAATTAATAAAAACCACCTTTAAAAATATTTAATAAAAAAATAAATTAATATTTACATCAAATTCTATGAAAAAATAAGGAAATAAAATGTTGAGTTAATGAAAGATTATTCAAAATATCTATAGCTTAAAAGAAAAAAATGATTTATATTTTAATTTCTATATAAAATATAACATGTATAAAAAAAAATTTAAAAACCAAAAAATAAAATATTATTAAAAAATATATATGAGGGGTTACCATTTATAGCATAGGTATAAGCATAAATAATATAAAATAATAATTTAAAAACAAATTCAATATTATAATAAATAAAAATTATAAAAAATGAATCAGACTGCAAAAATTAATAATTAAAATTTGTAGATAAATTTTTTCCACACCTTCATTTTTATTTTTTTTAACTTAATTTGTTTTTTTTATTTGTCTTACATAGCCATTAATAAATATAATATAATAATTTTAAAAAATTAAATTAGACTATAAAAAAAACAAATTCAAAATAAAATATTACAAAAGAATGATTAAAAATGAATCAGCTAGGTAGAGTACACTTTTTTAATGTATTTATCAATAAACATGTGAACAACCTCAAAGTTCTGAAACAACTTCAGCTAGCCCATTTATGCTGCACATCAAGCTAGCTTGATTCTGAATCCATTTTTTCACTCAAAACGTAGAACATAGATTCTACATAATTATATTCTTAAATGTCTCAATCAAATAAATAAATCTCCGCTCAAAATTGAACTCATCCTGAGCTGGCTTGAGCCTGAGTCAATTTTAGACTCAAAAACTAGCTGAGTTTAGGGCTAAGCCAGCTTGGCTCCACCGTTAATAACACTAATCACAAATAAATAAATTTCAGCTCAAACATTGGCATGAGCCGACTCATGTCTCAATGAGCCGGCTTGAGCCTGAGGAATTTTCTACTCAAAAACTGGCTGAGTTTAGGGCTAAGTTGGCTCAGCCATTTAGCAACACTAACACTAATCTCAAATAAATAAATTTTGCCTCAATAATTGGCTTGAGCCTGAGCCAAATTTTTGACTCAAAAACTGGCTGAGTTTTTGGCTAAGCTAGCTTGGCTCAGCCATTTAATAACACTAACCTGAATTAACCCTACGTTTTTACTATTTTTTCTTGCTAGAACAAAACAGGAGAAAAAACTGTGGGGGGGGGGGGGTTTAGGGTATAGCTTAAAAGCCAAAGGATCAGCCACTACGTAGATTTTATAATAATATATAGGGTTCTACTAGGGCTTGATTAACTACTTAAAAATTACAAGCTATGATGGAATGATTATTTTTTTTTAAATATAGATTATTTTAAATTTTATTACAAACAAGGTGGTAAAAATTAATTAATATGTAATGCCATTATTATTTTTAAAACATTTATATAAGTCTCTTATTTTAACATTCTTAAATATTTAAATGTAGATATGGTATGAAGAAAACTAATTTATGAGAATTTTATTTTATATATTCACATAATTATATAAATATATTATATCAAAAAAAATATAATTGATAAATAAATTATATATTAAATAAATATTATATTTATAAATAAATTTATATTTTATGATCTTGCCATAAGCAATATATATAATCAAAATCATCACTATTATCAATGATATTTTTTACTAAAATAGGTGGTAGTAAATTATGTTTTAAAGCATGATTCCATCTTTCAACTCTGGTGATCCCTGCAAAAACAGATCAAGAATTATATTATAGATATATTGAACCTAGACATGGTCCAAAATGTAAATTCAAATCAAACTGCTTTAATATATTAATTTCATTCACTTTATTTTTCTAAAAAAAATTAAGAATGAAATAAAAATATATAACCTTTATAGATTGTTTTAAAGGTAAATCAATAATTTTTCGTTTTCTATTAGGATATATCTCTGCGATAGAACTCATCACAAGTCTGAAATAATTTACTTCACTATTTACACTAACATAAAAAATGATGACGTGACAGTTGTTGAGGAGATGGAAGAGAGGTGAGGTGCGCAAAGCCCTACCCGTCCGAATCAGTTAAAAAAAATAATAACTGACCATGGGTAGGGTAAAATATTAACAAGCCGGCGGGACAAATTGAGAGAGTATAAAATATCTTCTGGCAGGTATATAACATAAGAGGCAGGATATAATAAATCTCTGATTTTTCATAAAATTTTAATAAGGACAATCGGAATTAAAATTTTGATATATTTTTTTGAATTTTTAATTAATATTTTGATGAATTTTTAAAAGTAGCGTATAACAACTCTTGTCTATCCGAAGGATTTGCCCTGGAAATAGATTTTCCCTAATTTCACGCCAAATAGGATTGCATGTAAAAGTAATAAATAAATCAGGTTTACCAAATTTGAACACAATGGCCATTGCATCATGATAGCATTCTCGCATATTTCTTTGAGAACCTTGAAAATATGTAGTATTACTGCTTTACCGGGAATTATATTGTTTGACCTTGTTGCCAAGTAGTCCATTAATCCAGAATATTCATCTACTCGTAATTTTGGCTGATTTTGTCTAATAAAAATTTAAATAATTTGCCTCGACCTGTAAATAGGAATCAACTATATATTGTTGTGTTAATTTCCCAGCAAAAAGGATTGGGTTGAATTCATTTTCACGAATTACTAATTTAAACATTTTAAATGTAATAGGGAGATATTTGTCTTGTACGCCCTTTACCTTCACCCATCTGGTTTCCAGCCAGGGTCATCAAAAGAAAATAATAGAGGATATACCATAGGATCAAGATTAGTACTTAATATATTTATATTTATGAGATCACTACCATTAACTCGAGGATAGCTTTGATATCCCGTTTAAACGGGGGTTATTTTTTAAGAACAGGCAGGCGGGTGTGTAAAAAAATTTTAAACTAAGGGGTGTGGGTGTGCGGGTTAAGAAATTTAAACAATGGACGGTCGGGTTAAATTTATAATCATTTAAGTGAATATTATTAAAAAATCGTTCATATGAACTTTTTTGGATATTAAAAATTAAAATGTCCTTTTTTGTATCATAAAAGGTTTTTTCTTAAAATAAATAAACTTCCTTGTATGTTTAAAACTACTTTGGTGGAAACGACAAGAAAGTGATCCAATAGCAAAAAATTTTTGGCAATTCAGTCCTTGAACGAGGATTTAACATTGCTGGAAGGTTTTTAGAACAAAGAAGGTGTTTGAATCCAGAAAATGTAGATTCATCATTATTTTTGCATTATAATTACATATAATATCAATTTTATATTTATATTTTTTTCATAAATATTTTATTTGATCAAATAAATTATCCATAATTTAAATTGAATATTTTTTTATGCTTAATATAGTAATTTTCAAATTATAAAACTTTTTGTAGAGTAATGCTAAATTTTTTTTATTAGATGCTTAAAAAATTGAAAGAATGGCCATAATTAAATTTTATAATAGCGGGCTTGGGTTAAAAATTTTTTTATAAATATTGGGTGGGCGGGTAAAATGTTTTAGACTAATGGGCGGGCGGACGAGCGGGTAAGAAATTTTAGACTATTGAGCGGGAGGTATATTTTTTTTTGAAAACTATGGGAAGGCGGATTAAGACTTTTTTAAAACATTGGGTGGGCAAACTTATGGTCCAAAAACCCGCCCAATGCAGACCTCTAAAACAGAGTAAATTTAATGATGATTTTAAATATATAATTCTGATAAAAAAAAATTAATTCTAAATTATTGCTCAAATGGCACAAGTATTTTTACAAACAATCGATGACATATAATATTATATGTCATTGCAAACAATACAATTTTTTTTAAAAAATAATAAAAAATAAAAGTTTTATACGAGGATGAAAAAACACAAACTCGCATAAATCCTTTGTTCTTTATTTATTATACGAAGCAGTTAAAAATTCCCTCCTCGCATAATAAAAACACAAGCTCGCATAAATCCTTTGATCTTTGTTTTTATACGAGGTAGTGCACCATGAATAATTTTTTGATTTTTTAAAAAATGTGAACATTTGGGGCCGGTTTTTAGACTAGCCCATACTTCTGGCGGGCGTGATTAGGTTTTTAAAAATATTTTTAACAATGGGCGGGTGGCGGACGGATTAAAAAAATTTTAAATTAATGGGATGGTGTGGCTTGTAAATTTTTAATATTTTTCAGGCAAAATGAGAAAAACAGACTTCTTTTATTAAAAATAATATTATTTCATAATATTGACTTATATATATATAATTAAAATAAACAAAAAAAAGAGCTAAACTGCTATTAAAATAATTTTAAGGAATAGGCGAGCCGGCGGGTTAAAAAAATTTTAAAATTAAAAGTCTGCTCATTGTAGACCTCTAATTTATACAACAATTTTGTAAAAATAATATGGAATTATTTTTTTTGTGGGGGTTTTTTTAAACCACTTTACTTTTATAATAAAATTTAAAAAATTAGTGCCCCAAATTTTTAATGACTATTTTTATGAATGACGTTGACCGCATGACCAGGATTATTAACAGGGTTACTAGATCTCCCGCATTTGGTGCAATTTTCCGATTATTACTTTCATTAACGCCAAAACACGCCGGCTATTAATTTACACTTTCACCCGATTTTTAACGCTTTCTTCCGATTTTTTACGCTTTCTCCTGATTTTCCTAATCTCCCTTTTTTTATATAAATTTTTTAAAATATAAAATAATTAAAAATAGGGTAACGATAAACTTACACGATCAGTTTTTATTTTAATTCAATCATACATTTAAAAAGCCATTTTGTTTGTGTTTACTTTATAAATCCATATTTTCTTAAAGGAAAAAACAAAGAAATGTTATGATGAATCAAATATAATTACTTCATCTGATAATGATGATGAAAATAATTCTTATGTAAATGTAAAATAAATATTTTATATAATTTTTAAAAATCAATCTATAGAAAATGATATTTTAAAAGTACATTCAACAAGGCAAAACATATTTCTAATTTAGAAAATAAAAAATAAAACAATTATTTATGTGATGATAATACTGCAATAGCCGAAACCACATTCATCTACACGATAAAACATTCGGTTAGTTATTTATCTAGATTTCCAACTGTTATATATATTTTATGAATGATAATAATTCTATATAGATATTCTTCTTAAATATTTGACGTATTTTCATCTTTTTATTTTCCAAAAACCGAAAATCCAATATCATATTTAAGTAGTGTTGATAAACGGCTCGTTTTGAGCCAATTTTTAAAAACGGCTAACTTTCCAGGATAATATTAGCAAGCCTGAAGATTTTATTTGTAGAAGGAACAAAAGTGGACATCTATTAACGAACATAAAAACAAGGCTTAATAATATAAAATTTTACAAACATAAGAAAATAATGTTGATACCCGTCACTCATAAAGTGGCAAATACAACACCTACAAACTTATTGCCTATGCTCAGGCGCGTACGCAGGAATTTTGTCTGGGGGGCGATAATAAATTTTTTTGAGAAATATTATTGTTTTTTAAAAATATCAAGCATAAATTTATTAGGACTAATAACTATTCCTAATACACAATTTTAAATTAATGTGAATTATAAAAAAATTATATGTAAAGAATCACTTAAATGACCCAAAATATAAATTTGAATTTTTTGAGCCTTTACACAAAAAGTTTCTTAGGAATAATTGTATTTTGTATGTTATATATTTACAATGTAATATCCAATCTTCGTTGGAATTGAGCTAATTTTTCAATTATCTCATCCTTGCTTGTCGTCAAATGCCTATGAATATTCAAAAAATCTAAACCTTTCAATCTACTTTCACATGTTGTACTTCTTGGTATGTTTTTCAGAGACCTGCAGGCCCGGCTCCTGGGCCGGACAATATTTTAATTTTTTTAATTATACCAAGGCCGGGCCCAAAATTTTTTTAAAAAAACACCCGGGCCGGACCTAAATTTTTTTTAAAAAACACCCAAGCCGGGCTGTATTTTTTAAAACAGCCTACATTTGAAATCATTATTATTAGCTATAAAAATCAAAAATAAATATAATTTATTTTTAAAAAATCCAGGCCGGGCCTGAAAATTTTATTTTAAAAAAAGCCGGGCCGAGCCTGTATATTTTAAAAAAAAGCCGAGCGGCCTAAAAATTTTTTTAAAAATAACGTAAAAAATTTTTTAAAAAAATCCAGGCCGTGCCCTGCAAATGGTACTTCTGAAGGCCTCTGTTATTCTTCTTAAAAAAGAGAGTGTTCTCTCATTAGTTTACTAATAGGAAGAGTTTATAAACCCTTTTAATACATTGGGAATTTAATCTAAAATGTGTTTGAAATAATGTAGAGCATCCATAGCATTTTTTGGGACTAAATCAACTATAGTTAATCTTATAAACATAGTTATTCAGATAGTAAGGCATCATAAGATACTTTAACATCTTCATAATAAAAATCTAACAAATATTTTTTTTTCTATCACCATCTGAAAAAGGTTGGGAAGGCTTTTGTGGAAGTAATATTTGCAGATGTAAATGCTGCATGATATATTAAAAAATTCATTTATTTACGTTATAAATGTATCTGCATCTAAGATAAACTCTTCTACTGATCCTATATTAATGTTTTAACGATGAGCTTGCCTTGCTGTCGAGGGAGACAAATATTAAACACGTATAGCTCTGCTTTTGACTCAACAATAAAATATAAAATATGAAATTCTTCATCAACATTAGCCCTAATTTCCTTGAGTTCTGATAAAATCCTCTCCGCTATTCTCATCTTCTTAATCAAATCTTTGTCATGTTTTTGAAAAGTAATACTTAAAATAGTTGTATAATTAAATAATACATTCTAATGAGAAATAAAATTTGGAATAAGCATTGAATCCAATAATTTTCTTGCTTCTGAGGAAATATTTCTTTCAGGCTATTGTAATATTTCAGTAATAGCAAATAATTGGCTCTTCTAACTCCTTAAGCTGTTAGTGCTTGATGGAAGAGGCTCTATCTCGTTGGAAGTTGCAATTTCTTTTTCCCTGTTGGACCAGAAGTTTCAAAAATAATTATTATTTGACTAGAAATTTGAAAATGGTAGATAAATATTACGCCACTAAAAATTTGAAAATAATAAGTAAATATTACGCCGGAAAACTTGAAATCGAAATTAATTGATAAAATAACATATGAATGTGATAATAAATGTAATATAATATATATTTAATATGAGATATGAATAAGAATTAACAAATATAAATTAATATAAACAATAATATTTTTGAAAAATATATCCGGCATCTGCATTTTTTGGCTTTGGGGGGGGGGGATTTGTTTCCCTGCCCCCCCCCCCGCTGCGTACGCCAATGCCTATGCTCTTTCATAATTCAAAAATAGATAAAAGCATAAAATATAAAACAAAAGCCTCACAAATAGTGTTTATTAGTGATGTTAAAAGTTACTTTTGAAACATAACTAGTTACAGTTACTAGTTACATTGGCAAAAACATAAATAGTTACAGTTACTAGTTACATTTTTACAAAAGTAACTAGTTATTAGTTACAGTTATTTTCAAAAGTAACTAGTTACTTACTTTATACATCATTCATATGAGCATTATTTATTTATTGAATGCATTTATTTAATATAAAAAAAATTAGGATAAACAAAGTATAATCAGTTATTTAAAATAATATACAATTTATTTATATGAAAAAATATCTCAAAATTGAATATTTACATTGAATATAAAAATATATATTTGCATTGAAAAAAAAACATTTATTTTTCATAAAAATTAGAATCTAATAAATGTTTATTTGCTTTTAACAACAAATTAATTTCAAAGTTATTATCTAGGAGACGTGCTTGTTTATCTCCAAAAATGAGCTTACCTAGACTGAACAAGCGCTCTACGGGAGCACTTGATGTTAGAACAACATTATATTTAGTAAAGAGTAATTTTAATTTTGGAAAATCGTTATATAAAGAAAAAGTGTTGTTATTAGATTTGATAAAGTTTTCTATAAGTTCATTATCCAGAATATTTTGGCGCTTTAGGTCAAAAAATCCAACTACATCAAGTGATGTTGGTTTTGAGCATGATTAATTCGTCTGGGATTCACTTTGAGGTATTAAGGTATTTATTAAATTTAAAATTTCCTCCATTTTTGCTTTATTCCTTTCTTGCCTAATCCAAGGCCAGTCAGTTTTAAATAAAGGGTGAAGAATTGCAGCAATGATGTTGTCATTATCATAAAGATTATTAAACCTATAACATGATATTTTTGTTAGACTTGGTTCTTGTAAGTAATGATTAATAATTTAATATTAAATTCTAAAATAATCTGTCTTTGTTTTTCCTTATACTAAATTTAAAATTTTTTTATTACGTATGATATGAAGTTCCAATGCTTGTTACTTGACGGAAAAAAATATATTGTGCTACATTTGTAAATAAATAAAATATAATATTAAAATTTATTAAATTACTTGAATTTGCTTACAAAATTATGAAGCCCAGCAGCAATGTAAAAATTTAAGAAAAGAAAATCAATTTGAACGGGAAATTATAACAATCAGACATTTTCACAAAATTTTAAATTAATAAATTTAATTTAAAATTAATTTATCACAACATATTAAAAATAAAATTAATTATTTGAATATATCTTTAAAAGTTACAAGTTACTTTTGGCAGTTACATTTCAAAAATTATAACTAGTTACAGTTACTAGTTACAATTTTAAAAATATAACTAGTTACAGTTATTTTTTAGCCAAAATTAAGTAACTAGTTACCTTAACATCACTAGTGTTTATCCTAGGTGAAACTAAGAAACACATTTTAGAGAATTTGAAGGAAAATCATTCATTCTCTCTATTACCCGATGCATCAAATAATGAAACATTCCCAATAATGCTGCGCCATTTAAATAAAGAAAGAGATGTTTCAAATAAAATTTTTTTTATCAAATGCGGAGAAATCGAAGGATATTGCGTCTATGCTTTTGCAGAGCCTTGAATTGCAACCTTTTACTATCAAATGTAACAGCTTTTTGTCTCCAAAACACAATGAGAATTTTGAGAAAAGACGAAGTGTAATGATGGAATTTTTAGTTTTGAATGAAAATTTTATTCCTAATGGTTGCCTGTGCCATACAATTTACAATACAAGAAGAAAGGGGAATGCTTCATTATCAATAGACAGAAATAATTGTTATAAAATAATACCGAATGCAGCAGATCCACAAACAGGGGTAAGGCCGCATTTATAGTAAACGTGTAATGTTGTTATTACAAAATAAAGCCAATAAATAGGTATAAATTTATAAATATGGAGCGTTATGATGATAACGCTATGAAATTGAAAAACATTTGTTGCGATACGTTTTTAAAAAAATATGCGATAAGATCATAAAAATCTTAGCGAATTCGATAAAAAGGTATATGATTTTTCTTAAATTTTATAAAATGATTATCTCTATTTTAGCTTTATCTTAAATTAGTTTTTAAAATTGAATCAGCTGTAATAACGATGCGTTAGAAACTCACCGCTTAAAGAAAACGCGTCTACCATAAAAGCAGTGTAAGATGAAATCTTGTACGATGATAATGATAAAATCGAATCATTTCAAAATGAAGCTAATAAAATCATTTAAAACAATCATTTATTATTTAGAAAAAAAAATATGAATTTACAAATAATAAAAAGAAAAATCGATTATTATGGAGCTCGAATAATAAATTCATATTCGAGGAAGTTGAATCAAAAAAAAATTTTAATATAAAAGATATCGAATAAGATGAATTATTTCAGGAGTTCATATAGAACAAAATAATACAATTTGGCTAATGAAAACACATGGGTACTTTTTTTTAAAGAACTTCGCCAAATTTTGAAAATATATGCAATATTATATTCTAGCTACAACATTCAAACGTTGCAGATAGTGTGGTAAATTAGTTGGTTTTACACGACCACGACCCTGGCTTTTGGTCGAAAAAATGAACCAAAACCAAAGCAACCAAATTGGTTGACCTGGTCGATCAAATTCATCGACCCGAGCACCAACCCTAACACAGCATCG